AATTTTTGTCTAGACTTGTTGAAATCTAAATTTTAGTCAAAAGGTGAAAGGTCCATTAACTGACATTACCAAAACTAACAAAATAGTAATGCTAGAGACAAACTGATTCTGTTCGACTGAAATCATTACTGCGGTGGACATAAAAACGCGCAAGTTGTAACAGATCTGCCAAACAAGTTGCAACAAGGTTGCTGTCAAGCCGATATCAGGATGTGTTACCACACTGCTTGTACCCAGCCGTTGCAACAAGTCTGGAACAAGTCGTTATCAACTTGTTACACGGTTGATGACTGTAACAAACTTGCTATACAAGTTGTGTTCCAAGAAGACTATAAATACAAACTGTTCGTAAAAAGTTGCTACGAGCTTGTTGTCCTCAACTTGTTACGTGCAGACGATATCAGACTTGCTGGAACAACTTGTTGCGAGTCTGTTGGCCTACGGAAATAACGAAGGAAGTAGTAGAATAAATTATGTCCGCGATTTCTGGGCATGACGTAAAAAAATACGAAAGAATATGGTCCTTAGGTCCAGACACAAAATCGAAAAATCGCGTCGCATTGTCGAATCGCGTCGGTGTCTGGACTGTGAGCGAGAGGCGAAATTAAAGGTAGAATCCAGTTTTAAATTAAAGATTAACAGAGTCAATAGAAGGCGAGGGACTGGTCTGGAAACTGTATTGTTTATCCAATTAAAACTCGGTCAAAAGAAAAACACGGGTCACGTGACTAAAGTAGGTGCACATATTTGCAATGCAAATGGACGCAAGCACATCAACAAATTTCAGTGGCGAAGGGGATTTGTTAGATTTTGTCGATAAATTACTTGGTGGTAATAGCAATATAATCGAAGAAGTCGCAGAAGAAAATGATATTGCAATCGAAGAGGTAAGAATGTAAATTATTTTATTGTTTTAGTATTTCTACTACGCATTTATTAATAGTACTTTAATAGTGAAATGCAATCCCAAATTTATCAATCTTTATATAAAAAGATAAAATATTGCTAGATAATAATGATTTTATCTAACTGGTTAAACAATGATAGCGATAGTTTAATACAGTGTGCAGCTTCTGATACGTACTGTATTAAAAATATAGTATTTGAATAATTGTATATGATAATTGTTTTAATATTGTTTTAGTTAACAAATGAAGCAAAGTATTCTTGTGCTATTTGTCACAAGAAATACAAAACAAAAACTTGGCTCGTGAAGCACACAGAATCTAAACACCAACAAAGTGGCGCAGAGACACAACTCAGAACGAAGCTGGAAGTAGAGATTATCTTCAAGCTGTTAATGGAAGCCCAAAAAGATATTTCAAAAGATGATGCTATTCAACTCTAATTCGTAGTACTGTTGAGAATTACATTTTTGTTGATAAAACTGAACTACTTACCAATGAAATTCAGAAACTGTACAGTTCACTGTGTTCAAATTCAGATGCAGAAAAATTTTATTCACAGTTTTATCAGTTAATTGTCATGGATGCGAAAAAGTATTTTAATTCCTTGGATTTTCCTATGTGCACGCTCCTTGCAACACGGCTTGGAGACAAGATACTAGCCCATTACAGCAGGCCAGCAGAATATAAAATTGTTATTAAACCTGTAACTGAAAGAGACATGCAAGCACTTCAGTATTTATCTGGATATGTCATTCATTCTTTGGTAAGAAAGATCCACAAATTCACAAATTGGAGATCAACTAATGCACAAGATTTATTGACTTTGCTATATGCTGCAAAGAGTGATGATGTTTCATCTCAGAAACTGATAAGTTGTCAGACAAGGGGTGGTCTCTGGGCTGTCACAGCTGAGTGTCTCCAGGTATTCAAAATTGTGGAAGAAGAATTCCGCAAAGAAACCAGTGCAGTTCATGTAACAAAAATTGATAGCAGCAAAATTTCCGAGGCCCTTCTTCAACGAATTGACATGGTTAGTGCCTATGATAGTATGACACATGGATTTACAACTACCATCTCCAAAGAAACTAGATTTTGTCTGCTTGACAAAATTATTAAACTTTTCTTGCGAGTTAGGGCATTTTCATATGTAAAGGATAAAACCAAACTGCAAGCATGCAAAAATAAAGCCCTGCGCAAAGACATTAAGAAAAGGTCTGAGAACAATGCAGAAACCCACTAAATATTGAACTAAATACAATGCATGTCTACCCAAATTATATGTATTGTTATATTGTTAAAATAAACAAAACAAACCCAAAGTACCTTTAGTTCTATGATACTATAGAAGGGAGTGAATAGGGACACCCAAAGTAATTTGACCCTATGGAAATGAATTGGAAACACAATTTTATTTACATAATAGTTTGCAATATATCATGCACTCCTAAACCGATTTGTTTTTTTGCCTTCTTTTCAAAGGAGTTTCATCAACATCTGTCCATGAAACCTTTCTCTTCTTATCATGTCTTCCTTCTGTATTCCCAGTGACTGGGGCTACAGATCTCTGAGTGCGTATTATGTTATCATTAAACCCGAATTGCCAAATGTTTGGGTTATCACTGCGGCGGCCTAAGCTGCGTTGCCGTCCAAAATATTCTTCTACAACATCCTGGTTGAAGCGATTTGTTAGAACAAAGGTCATCCCTTTACTAAGTAGAAACTTAATAACCTCGATCACAGAGTAAACTGTCATCTGCAAACCTTCATAAGTCTGCAATGACAGAAGGTGCGACAAGGAATAGCATGATGGACAGACCCTGCTGTCTGCTCTGAGATACCATGACAAAGGCAGTAGTGTGTAAGTTTCTGCAATAGTTCAGATACAGTTATATTCTTCAAAGATCTTTTATTGCCACCATACACAGAATGATTGCTGGCCAGTACCCATCCATAAACAACACAAGTGAAGTGGAAATTTTCTTCTATAATAATCTCAAACTTTGGAATTAATAATGGGGACACAAATAGTTTTAGAACCAATTTCTCACTAGTACATTCTTGTTGCCATTCTGGAAGCTTTAATTTCTTAGTTCTTTCACATAACTCCTTAAAATTCTTGTAACAATCCTTTTCTGTGGTATTTTGAGCATTCTGATTAACAATAGTAAGAGGTCGTCTTGCTGGAGCTAGCTTTGCTTGATGTGATCTTTCAGGCAGATTAATAGTTGGAAGAGCACCTACTACTAATGCTTTTCTTCCTTTACCTGGAAGAATAAATGATAAAAAATCAACTTTTATCTGTAAGATAAGTGAAAGACACTCAACATGATGACCTTCATGATCCATAAAAAGGCTATTGGCTTATTGCATTTTTAATCCACACCCCCCCCTATGGAGGACATTCATTTTTTGGACCCCCTCCCCTGGAATTCCGCAGATGTTGATGAATTTCCGCCCTACCCCCTGGAATTCCGCGATTATTTACAAATTTCCAGCCTACCCCATGGAATTTCCACAGATTTTTAACCAATTTCTACTCATCCCTTGGAAATTCCACCAATGGTTTTGACCTAGTCTCTGGAATTTCCACATTTTTTGTTTAATAGGTAACCATCCCTTGGAATTTCCATGTTGTTTTTTTAACCTACCCCGTGGAATTTCCACAGATTTTCTTTAAAATTTAGACCCTCCCTTGGAAATTCCGTCCTTTTTTGTTGAATTTTAGGAAGGGGGGCCTGGAAATTCCAGTATCCTCCATAGGGGGTGTGTGGTTTAAAAATGCAATAAGCCATTTTGACAATGCTGGAAAAGTGTTTTATAAATTTCATATTGAACTGAATTAATAATGAAGCTACAGCATATGTACTAGTTTTAT